GATGTGAAACAAAACTTAATATGTTTAGATCAATATTAAGTCAAATGATGTTATCTTTAGATTGTAATGATGAGAAACTGATATTGTTGATGATATGAAGTAATTTGGAGCAGGGGTGGAAGCATTGTGGGAAGCCATTGGAGGGAGGGGAGGAACTGGGAATGGGGTAGACAATTGATAGAATGAAAAGTTTTATATGTTGTATTCCTGAGAAAATAAAAAATTTGTTTACCAAAAAAAAAAAAAGAAGTGCTGTACCGACAACTAAAGAACTGCGAACGGTTAATACTTGAGTCCACCCTCTGTATACTAGGTTACACAGAAATTAACCCTTTACAGTCCTTTAGTTGTTGGTACAGCACTTCTAAGCCTCTTAAAAAGTGCAGTCCATCACAACATGTTAGATATTTTTGACTACTAGCACATGTGTTAAAAAATAATAATATAAAACTCAATCCAGTTTGCCCCCAAATTGCTTTGAACATGAACTGCTAGATGAAATGCTGAGATACTTGTAAAAGATGCCCAATTATGCAATACTGAATGTGAATTATTCAGTTTCTGAGCTGGATCTCATGGATGGTTTCTGCTAATGGTGGAGCCTTCATCCATCCACAGAAGACTCTCTTTCATGGATGGAAGGCTTTGTTTTACTCTAGAGGAACACTCCACCCATAGTGGAATGGATCCATGGTATCCAAGTCTATATTTGGAGCATTAAATATGTGTGCATTATTGGTCGCTGTTATGATGTTTATCAGCTATGTTTGAAGACATGAAGTCTCCAGATGATATGGTCAAGTAATGTAAGCATCTTAACACATGAAAGCTAACATGAACAGCAAATGAACAGAGATGTGTCTAGGAATCATGGATGGGGGTCAGCCACCACCTCCCTTCCCTCTGATGGGTTCAGCCATGACAGTTAGAAGTTGGAGGTAAGTTCTCAGTAGTACCTGGGTCCATCCTCAGTATACTAGGTTATACAGAAATAAGAGTAACATCTAGCCATTACCAAAGGGTCTAAAAAGAAGGTGGGTAGAGGTTTCAGGTTCTCCTTGTGAGGTTCTCTGAGACATGCAATGAATGGTCATTGTCCAAAACTGAAGATTGATCTGCTTGTCCTTTGATCTGACCCAAAACAAACTCATTTGATGGCCATACGAATGATAATCTACCTTTGGTTTTGCCAGCATACAGTTCCATGTGTTTCATTAATTAATTTGTTCATTCATTCATTCAAAGTCAAAGGAACACATAAAGCTGCCTTATACTGAAACAGACCCATTGAAGTCAGTACTGTCTAGTCAGACTGGCAGCAGCTCTCCAGCGTCTTAGGTAGAGGTATTTCACATCATATCTTTTTTACTTGGAGATGCTGGGGATTGAACCTGGGACTTTCTGCATGTCAAGCAGATGCTCAACCACTGAGCCAAAGCCCCTCAGTTTCTCACTGAGACTCCAGGTGGATTGTCCATTACAGATCAAACACAATCAACAATATGGCACATCCTGTACACAAAGCAATAAGGTTTGGAAACTTATTTATTTATTTGCATTTATATCCTGCCCATCCCGAGGGTGGGCCCAGGGCGGGTAACATCATAAGAATAAACACAATTTCAGTTCAAAACATTAAACATTAAAACACGATAAAACATTATAACAATTAAGACAATGGGGACTGCTTAGAACAGCGTCAGTTGGCTATAAAGTTCTGGCACAATGGTGCAATGAGTTAAAGGCCAGTTGTCGTGGTCAGTAGATGGGTGACAGGCGGGTGACAACTTATTGGAAGCACATCAGCCCTGCTCAGTCGTTGGATGGGAGGCCACCATGGAAGTCCGGAATTGCTATGAAGAGGCAGGCAATAGCAAACCACCTCTTTTCATCTCTTGCCTTGAAGAAAACCCCATGTGGTCTCCATGACTCAGCTGTGACTTGTGAAGGAGAATTGAAATGTACTAAGGGTGATGGAGATCTCTTTGCTGATGGTAGTCTCTTATCAGGTCAGCCAGTTTAACACTGTTAAGCTCAGACATGGTATGAAATGTCCACAGAACAGAGCATTTCCTACAACACCCATGAATCAGTATTAAATAATGCGTATGTGTAAGCTAGTGTGAGGGCTAACTATGGGTGATGTAAATAGAAATAAAGTGTACTGATGGGGAGGGGGTTGGTGCAGTATTGACTTATTGTGTAACTGGTGTAAAAATTCTGCAAGATCCTGACATCCTTTTGCCTATACGTGCTGAGGCTTTTGTCTGTAAAGCTGTTAGGATCTTCAACTTTCTTTGGAGTAGATGGTTCCCTTGATCGTGATCAATCAATAAAGGAGTTTCTACTCAGGTGACTCTAGTAGTGATTGGACCTCCTTCTTTTTAATTTTTTTTAAATATTTATTAAGATCAAGTATAACTTATAACATGTACAATACCTGCAAAACAGTATACAACAGTTCTGAGAATCCAACATTACAAACCAGCCAGTTAATCACCAACAAAGTTGCCATCATACATCAATAGTTATAACATAGTAACATACTAATGTAGTATCAGATCTGTTCCCATAGATAAGAATGACTTTTGAACTATCAATCCCAATGAATGGAGTCAGGTTTAAACTACAACAATTTTAGGAGTCTGCTACTCTGAACAACAAGAGGAGTCTCGGCAGCAAGGCGGAGGTCAGAGTTAAAGCAAAAGTGAAGCCATGTGTGATAGCTCGTCCTAGAGGGCAGCACTGTTGTATTCTAAAATTACTTTTTTCTCCATCATTTGACAGCAGCCCCCCCCCCCAAACAATCTAGGAGATAAATGATTTTGAGACAATTTGATAGGCAAGTTCTCCAAGTCAGTTTAATGATCCTTTCAATAAACACTTTCACAGGACATCCCTTCATTACATTTCTTTCTTTTATGTCTCTTGTTTTTCAAATGATACCTAACTCTGTATCGGATCAGGTGGAAAGAGGGGAGACAGCTGAAAATAATGAAAAACAGAGTGTCCAATAGATGTCCTCCCATGTGCAGACATCAAATTACTTTGATCTCTGGGACTAGCCTGAAAAATACAATTGCAACCATCAGCTATGCATTGCATTCAGAAGGATTTTGGCCTCCGCTCATAACCAAATCTGGGTTTTCCTAACTGGGGAGGTTTGATTCCAGTTTCTCCAGTTCCAGATGTGGCAGTAACATTTCTTGAACAGATCTAGCCCACACCTTCATCTCACATCCTGGAGGTGGGTTAGGTTTGCATTTGCCATCATGAATAGACAGCTTTTGTCTCCAGTTGGTGGTCAGCTGCTGGCTGTTTAGCTTCAGTGTTCCTTAACATCCATTATTTTCTTATCACAACTTCCCTTTTGTGTCACCAATAGCGGCCAGGGCTCTTTTCGTAGCAGGGAATCCTTTGCATATTAGGCGACACACCCCCTAATGTAGCCAATCCTCCAAGAGCTTACAGAGCTCTTCTTACAGGGGCTACTGTAAGCTCTTGGAGGATTGGCTACATTAGGGGTGTGTCACCTAATATGAAAAGGAGTCCCTGCTACAAAAGGAGCCCTGCATACCACTGATCATGTTATGTGTAACAGTGCCCCACTGATCCACTTGACCTGCTCCGATACATGTTTCTGAGCATAACACTGTGCCTTTCTGATGTCTCTTCTTTGATGACTATCCATTCTGTTACATTAGTGCTACATTCTTCTACATTAGAGTTTGCACTGCTTATGCACAAATATTTGAGGGTGAGGGTCCTGTAATAGAACTGAGGCATCCATGAAGGTCTTGGGAACAGTACTGGTGGCAACAGAAACAGCCACCCATTTTTCATGAGTTTTATTTCCAATATACAGATTGATCAGGCTTCATGCGAATGCACATGGAAGGGAATGCACAAGGTGTGTTACCTCCAAAGAAGCATCAGAGCCCCTGAGTATAAAAGTTATGTATTTATCTGAGCATTTATATTCAACCTTTCCTTGTGGTTCAAGGCATCTTACAATAATAGCTTAAATATATATTCAGTTAAAGCTGAAAATAAATTCTCCTCCCTCTCCCCCTTTGAAGATGACTGCTATTCAACCCCCCACAACAGCTCTGGCAAACAGGCAGGCCTTGCAGTGTTTCTTGAAGATCTCCAAGGAGGAGGTCCCCCCACCACCACTTCAGGGAGCCCATTCCACAGAGCAGGAACCAAGATGGAGAAGGCCTTGGGCTCTGGTTGGTCTGAAATGGACCACGCTAAGTAGTGGAATAGCCAACAGACGCATGCCTGATTATCATAGTTGATGCACAGGGACATATGAATGGAGGAGGTTCTTCATAGTTATTGATCCTCACCACCATCAGCCATGGAAGCACTACTCAGGCAATTCAAGAGGGTCATCAAAGAACCCTGCTTCTCTTAGCAACTCTGAGCGACCACACAGAAGTGGTATCATTCATATTAGTCCTGGTTTGTGGGAGTACTTACAAGTATGTTCCATTTGAGTGGATGAAAAAGTTTCTCTGTGTGTCAACATTACTTCTCATGGTTACCCATAAATGATTATAGCACAGCCTCCAAAATGGTCCGAGCGCATAATAGGACAATGTAGATCACAGCATTGTATATATGAAATTAAGAAAAACAACAACTATCCATCTAACCTGTTTGTCCATCTACTTATCTGTATGGGTTGGATCCAGCCAGCTTTTTCATTCAGTCTCACCCTATTCCTGTCCTTACAAAACCCCTTTCACACGTGGCTGTTGTACATGAAGTCTCATAGTCCCCAGAATTTCCATGTAGTGGGTAGGACCCTTCTGTGTGTCTGTGTCCCCCCCCCCCAACAAACTGGGATCCAACTGTATATATAGTTCCTGATTATTATTGGTTGGATAACTCAATATATAAGTAATGGGAAAGAAAGATTAATGGAGTTGCACAAATAGATGGAGAAGTGACCACCAAGTTCCTCCTACATTCTTCAGATCTCACTAAAAATGCTACATATGATTCATCAACAACTTCTGAGCCATAACTGCTCCCCGTCCACAAATCTCACCTAGAATTCCCTTGAACAAATCGTTCCTCAGAGTATAGATAAAGGGGCTCAGGAATGGATTGACTATACTACTGAGTAATGCTGGGGTTTTGCGAGCCCCTAAAGAGGATTTCTCAGATGGAATCACATACAGTAGGATGGAGACAGCTGTAGACATTAGAAACAAGGTGAGATGCGCAGCACATGTGTTGAAGGCCTTCTTCCGGCCGGTGCCAGTGGGTATGCGCAAAATGGCAGAGACAATGTAAGCATAGGAGATGACCGTCAGAGCCAAAGAGCAGAGAATGACGACTGATGACAACCCAAAAGTGACTAGCTGTATCAGGCGCGTGTCAGTACATGAAAGCTTCAGCAGAGGTTCGCTGTCACAGAAAAAGTGGTCAATGATGTTTGACTTGCAATAAGACAACCTGGTGATTATGATTGTTGGATAAAGGACAGAGCAAAACCCACCCAACCAGCAAAACAACACTATCTGGACACACACGTGGCTATTCATGATGGAAGGGTACCGCAAGGGGTTGCATATGGCAACATAGCGGTCGTAGGACATGCATGTCAAGAGGAAATATTCCACTGTACTCAGGAAGAAATAGAAGTAGGATTGGGCCATGCAACCAGCAAAGGAGATAGTCTTGGCATCAGAGAAGAGGTTCCTCAGAAAGCTGGGAACAGTCACTGTTGAAAAGGCAAAGTCCAGCACAGAGAGGTTGGCAAGGAAGAAGTACATGGGCGTGTGAAGGCGGGTCGTGGTGATAATGATGATCAGAACTGACATGTTACCAAGCAATGTCAAGAGGTAGACAGCCAGGAGAACCACTGCCAATAAGATCTCTGCTTTACGTCCGATCAGAAAGCCCAGGAGGACAAAGTCTTCATGTCCAGTGTGGTTTCCCATTCCTAACCTCACCAAAGACAAACATTAAAAAAGATTTTGACCCCTCCAAATACAGATACGCAAGAAAAATCAATTTATCTTTTAGTTTTGTTAACCCACTTTTCCACATTTGGAATATTTCCTTGCCTCCCATTTCACATCTGTTTTCAATTCTGCAGTGCAGGAAAGTATTGGATTATGAACCTCTGTCTCACGATATGTGAAAGTGGGCGAGAACTCTGATTCCACGATATCTCTGGTTAGAGAAATATGTTCATAATCTACCATTTCAGGACTGCAGTAATCCTTCAGTGCAATCCTAAACAATGTTACACGTTTCTACAGTGGAGTCAATTGTTTTACAGAAGTGTAGGATTATATTGTTGGCTTGTTTATTTATTTTTCAAATTTATACTCCGCCCTCCCCCTTCTTTGCTTCTATCTTTGCTATATTTGCGTCTTGGTATTCCTTTTCAGATTTTAATATTTTAAGGGCAATACAGACATATGAAATGGTTCGTTCAACTGGCAATGCTTTTTCTTAACAAGAAAGGCTTGGGGACTTAGAAGACCAGGAAGCGCTACTCTCAGGATTGAATAAACATATCCTTACAAAATATGATAGAAATACATAGCATTAATACTTTTAGAGCGTTATGATATTAAACTGTCCTGTACGCAGAACACCTTTGAGGATACAATCATGATTGGTTGCCATGCCTGATCTCAATATCCAGAACTCCCAGTACTTTTCAGGCTGGCAATGACATGTCAGTAATGGTCATAACAACAATGGGAAAGAGCTGTGAAGCTGGACACAGTAGAACTGGTAAAAATGTTAATATATCGGACAGATACAATGTGTGCAGTACATGAATATAATCATTGCACAATAAAGCACAATAATACTAAATATGAATCTTCTTCGTTGGAAAGAACTATTTTGGAAAGAGAATTTTATGGAATATTTCATTGTGTATCAGAAGATTCCTATTTAGCTTCTAGTATTATTGTGCTTTATTGTGCAGTGATTATATTCATGTACTGCACACATTGTATCTGTCCAATATATTAACATTGTTACCAGTTCTACCGTGTCCTGCTTCACAGTTCTTTCCCATTGTTGTTACTACTATACAGCTGTGTGATCTCCTTTTTTGTTTAACCTATGTCAGGAATGATCAGCATTCACCCACATATCTAAGACTTCCCAAGCATTCACAAAGGCCTTGGGATCTTAAAGTCAGACTCCCTGCTGCAATTTCAAATTTCCCACACATTAGTCCCTGCTATGTAAGTTACAGTAAAGGTAAAGGTTTCCCTTGCTCGAAAGCCAGTCAAATCCGACTCTAGGGTTGCGGTGCTCATCTCCGTTTCAAAGCCGAAGAGCCAGCGCTGCCCAAAGACGTTTCCGTGGTCATGTGGCCGGCGTGACTAAACACCAAGGCGCACGGAACGCTGTTACCTTCCCACCGAAGTGGTCCCTATTTATCTACTTGCAATGTCTTGCTTTCGAACTGCTAGGTTGGCAGGAGCTGGGACTAGAGACAGGAGCTCACTCCGTCATGCGGCACACCCGGGTCTCGAACTGCTGAACGACCGACCTTCCACAGCCTGCAGTTCAGCGTCTTAACCCCTTGAGCCACCGCAGCTCCTGCTATGTAAGTTACATCCAAACTAAACAGTAAGCACAGTCCTGAATAGAGGTACACCTTTCTAAATCTATTTAAGTCAATGGACTTAGAAGAGCTTAACTCTGCTCAAGATTCCATTGTGCATTTGGAGTGGGGGGGGGTGATGTGCATAAAGTAGGTATGATGGGAATGTTAATGTCATTCCAGAAACAATTTAGTAGAACCATCCAGACGATGCATCCACGGAAGGTCCACATATAGGCTACCGAGAGGCAGCATGGTGTAGAGGTTAAAGTGGCAGACTAGGATCTGGGACAGCCAGGTTTGAATCCCCGCTTGCCCCGTGGAAGCTTGCCGGGTGACCTTGGGAAGTCACACACTCTCACCCAGACTACCTCACAAGGTTTTGTGAGGGTAAAACAGAAGAGAGAATGGGAGGATTGGAAGATCTAGGAGAAAGGTGGAGTACGGATTAAGAAAGTCAATGAATAAATTAAAAGATGTGTATGATGGGGAACTAGGAATCCTTCAGCCCCTTTGCTTAGGAAACCCAGATGCACTACTTACTTAGGGAGATCGCATTATGAAGCTTCTTTTCATCATCTTTGCTTTGGTGCCCAGCGCTCTCCTTTTGTATATTCTTATTCATTCTTAATTTCTACGATTAAAAAAAGGCCTTCCTCCCCAGAAGTAAGTTTCACTGAGTTCAAAAAGATGTCTTCCCTGGGGGCCAACACCTTCCACTGACAAAGTCATTATCCCATCCCAGATATTGTCCGGCTAGTAACACGTGAAGATCAAGACCAACTAGTCCCTTGTTAGAGCACGAGTATTATCAGCCAAGGCAGCATGCATTGAGTGGGAAAGAGGTGTCCTGTGAAAAGGTTCTGACCAGATGACCCCAGTCTTCATTTTTCTTGTATGCCCTTCATTGGGAACCACATGAGTCTCCTCTTAAATAACAACTGCCCAACATGTTCCACATTTGGAAGAGGTCTTAATGAAACAGTGCAGGCAGGAAGTTGATGCCAAATAGTGAAGTGAATGAGAGCAAGGAAAGATAAAATAGATGTACATATCTGCCCAGAATTTAAAGGGCAAATGAAAGAACAGGGAATGGGAGCAGATGCTACAAACCCAGGGTTTGATAATCTCTGACAACATAATCCAATGTTCTCAAGTTCTCCAACAAGAAGAAACATTTATGGTTGATTTCCCATGATATAATAGATTCTTTTAGTTGTTGTCTTTCTAATTCAGTAGCTCTGCTTTTACAAGATGATTCCAATGATCTTCTCAAGGGAAGCAATTTAGAAATGTTTGCCCACATGAGTATGACTTATTAGCATAGAAATTAGGGAATAGTGTCAAATGTATGTATTTGGTATTGACCGATTAAAATATAGTGTTATGTTCTCAAACTGGTTTATGAGAACTGTGAAAACTAGTTGTTTCATATATTTAAGCAATAAAATGACAAACTGATCTTAAGCAATCAAACAACACCATTCACACAAAAAAAATCAATTGAATCTAAAATCTGTTATAATGCCTTAAAACTAAGAGCAAAATCCAAAAGGGTGGAGAGAGAGAGAGAGAGAGAGAGAGAGAGAGAGAGAGAGAGAGAGAGATGTTCTCAGACTTGGCATTTATGAGATAAACAGTGTTCCCTCTAAGCTGAGTTGGTGTGAGTTAGCTCACAGTTTTTTAGCCTCTGGCTCACAGATATTTGCTCAGGAAGGATGGCCTCGAAGCAAACTGATTTATGAAGCAACCTAATGGCTCACTCACAACTTTAATGCCCATAGCTCACAAAGTAGGATTTTTGCTCACAAGACTCCACAGCTTAGAGGGACATAACATTGGACATAAACAGTGCAATCCTAAGAATACTTTCCTAGGAGTAGGCCTCATTGAACAGGACTTAGTAAGATTCAGAGTAGAACTACTTAGGATTGCTTTCTTAGAACCCACTCCTAACCATCTTTACTAAGAAGGTGGGCAACCCCATCGAATTTAACGACATTTATTTTCCAACTGATGTGCTCCTTTTTGTAGTCTTAATGTTTAGGATAGTTTCTTCATTGTCTCTGTTTTTTGTCTGTTTTAACATCTATCAGATTTAAAAGTCTACTGCTTAAAACAAAAATTCAAATTAAATGTAGCAGAAGCATTCTGCATAGCCGTAACTAGGGAGGCAAAACCTATATACTTTCAGGCCAGTTTGGTGTAGTGGTTAAGTGTGCGGAGTCTAATCTCGGAGAACCGTGTTTGATTCCCCACTCCTCCACTTGCACCAGGCTGGATGACCTTGGCCAAGCCGTAGTTCTGATAAGAGCTGTTCTTGAAAAAATAGCCATTTCTGTCAAGAGCTCTCACAGGGTGTCTGTTGTGGGGAGGGGAAGGGAAAGGAGTTGGTAAGCTGCTCTGAGACACCTTTGGGTAGTGAAGGGCAGGGTATAAATCCAATCTCTTCTCTTCTCCTTCTTCTTCTGTAGTAACAGAACAAAAAATTGAGTTCTGGAGCACTGTAAACACCAACATTCCCCCCTCCCAAGTCAAAGCACACTTTGTCAGATGACCAAGAAAATTAATCACTTGGAAAATGTTGGTTTACTTTTTACTCTGCTACAGGATTCAAAAATCTATATATGAGTAATTCAACCAGAGTGCACTAAATTCTTTCATGTGCACGCTGGGGTACTTTTGTCCCAGAAGGCTTCCCATTCACTTCAATGGATGAAGGAGCTCTGCACGTATGGAGCTCATCTCCATGGAAGTAGATGGAGAACAATTTATGTGGTGAGGATGAAGGAACTGAAATGAAGAGGAGATGGACAGTTGGCATGGTGCAGTGGTTGGACTAGGAATGGAGAGCCCTGGGTGACCTTGGCCCCCCAGTCTGTCACAACCCATCAGTCCTCACAAGACTGCTGGAGGGGAGAACTATGTATGTTGGTTGCCAACTGTCCATCTCATGTATGTTGGTTGCCCAGGGCTCCTTGGAGGAAGGATGGGATAAGAAATATGATGAACAGAGGAAAGTCTTCCAATGATTCAAGGCAATGAAGTTTGATTCTTTGATGTCTCTCAAGTAAGAAGCAAAGTTTTTTGGCTGTTCTATCATTTTAGGAGACCCCGCAGTGTGCATGTGAGCACCTCTTAGAAAGTCGATATCTTTGCCCAGCTTTCCTCAAAAGCTAGGTTTTGAGAAAATTACAGTCTCTTCCTAAAGCGTTCACTCAATTAGCCTACTTCCCCTAAAATACAGACCTGGCCTCTATTTAGGGAGGGGCCATGGCTCAGAATTAGAGCATCTGCTTGGCATGCAGAAGGTCCCAGGTTTGACCCCTGGCATTGTTGGAAAAGGCGATGTCTGGTATAGAAAGAAGAAAAGAAGACCCTGCAGGGGGCTGCAAGAAAAAAAATTAGACAGAATAGTGAGGCCAGTACCTTCTCTCCTGTTAAGTGCCATTCCTTGTCTGTCTCCAGATAGCTACTCTTAGGACAATTTCCCCCTCCTCGGAAGTGCCACACTCAGTCTTACCCTCTGTTTTCAACTAGAGGTGTAGTTAGGGACTCTGTCTCTCCTCTTTCTGATCAAGTATGTTAATTCCTAAACAAACCTTTTCTCTACTCTTTAATCAGGTTGGGCACCATTGCTGTGTTAATTATTTTGCCAATGGGTATCTCCAGTAAGGATCAAGGTGTAGGTAATGTGAAAGACTCCATCTTGGAGAGCCAGTCTGAGTAGACAATACTGACCTTGATGGAACAATAGTATGATTCACTATAAGACAGCTTTAAGTGTTCATGTGACCTATGTAGTCTCCTGAGAGGATCCTACCTCCTCCAATTATCCCTCTGGAGGCACAAACCTTATCTGACTCAAACTGGCAGTTTTACAAACTTTCTCCTCCGCCCACCCCCTTCTGACTCCTCCAGAATTCCATACATCCTGATTGGCTGTTAGATGCTCTGCATATACACCAAACAGGCATGCAGGGAACTGGTGATTGACAGAAAGACGCAGGACTTTTGCCTGTTAGTCACATAGATAGATGCTCTCTCCCGTTCTTTAATGTTATTCTGAAGACTCCCATTTTTCCAATGTAAAGTTTTTGGAGAACTGGGTGGGGGAACCTCTTATGGAATATTTTCTTTTCTTTACTTTAATTTCTTTTCTTTTTTTAAATGAAATGTCTTTTCAGCCAACATTTGACTCACTCAAAATGTATGAAACTTTTTATGAAAGCTAAACTACAGCATCAGATAATGATAATTCCTGTATTTATTTGTAGACATATACAACATACGCACATTCAAGTATTTGGATTTTTTTGTACACATAGAACACATTTTGCCCAGAATTAATACGCTATAATGTGCATGATTTCATTTATTTTACTTTGTTAATTTCTTTATTTATACCAAGTCTTTCTTCGTTCATGTTTTCATAAGGTAACTTATGATGTTAATATACAATTGAAGAGTTCAGAACTTTCAATGTTCTAAAGTTTAACTTAATAACCAAAGAGACTGCCGGTCCTATATTTACTGTATGTGGCAGTTCCATCCAAATAATACACTTGATTTTGTTTAGTACAAAATGTGTGTGTTTTATTTTTGATTTCTATTATTTCCCCCATCATATTTGGCGTCTAATTTTGTTTTTTTTTAAACTATGACATTCAGACTAAATTTGATAAATACTACAATGTTATATGCTCATCTCGTTCTACATTATACACCTTAAATCACTAAAGCGGTCAAATTATGTTCAGGAAGAAAGTTAGTGGAGGGAAGTCAACATGACATGGCTCAATCTTGTCAGATCTCAGAAGCTAAGTAGGGTCAATACTTGGAAGGGACACCACCAAGGAAGACTCTGCAGAGGAAGACAATGGCAAACCACTTCTGCTTCTCACTTGCCTTGCTGGAGTCATCATACTGGGACATACAAGAAAGTTAGCAATTCATATTTCCATTTTCCTCCATATTTATGTTCCACCCCTCCTACAAAAATACATTTTATTGCCACTGCTCTGTACTGAGACTAATCTCGTCAGCCCCATCTTGGGGACACAGAACAATGGACTGCTAGGATCCTGGGATGGACCTATCACCCATGAGCAAATAGCCTATTGTTGGGAGTGGGTGTGTGATGGGTGTGCCGTTTTACAGGCTTATAAGCAGGGCTCTGGCCCTGCTAGAGTTGTCTTTAGTTTGAGCTGAAACCACTAATAAACTATGAGCTGATCACTCAACACGTCTGAACCCAGTATATTTCAGCCACATTGTCAGATATTATACATCGCTACTGTTCATATCTTGTTTATTTATCATTGTAGGTATCCATTTATGAACCTGCAACATTTCCCCAAATGGGCTCCAGGTGTCTTTACAAAAAGGAAACTCTTAGGTACCCATTAAACCAGGGGTGTCAAACATGTGGCCCAGGGGACAGATCAGGCCCCCAAAGGGCTTTTATCAGGCCCGCAGTGGAACTGGCTGTCTTCTGCTTCTTCTTCCAGTTTTGCTGCTGCGTCATAGTAGGTTTGGAGCTTATAGACACACACCTGAACAGCATACTCAAGATTGCAACGGCACAGACATTCTGACGCAATAATTCTGAGCAAGAGATGATGGTCAGTTATCAGACACTGTTAAATAAACAAAATATTGCAAGAGTGCTAATGGTTTAAGCATGTTTTTATTTTAAGTAAAAAAAGCCTTTTGTGTTTGTGTTCTTTATAAAGTTTATATCTCTGCTACCTGGCATTACATTTTATGATACACATGGCCCGGCCCAACAAGGTCTCATTTATGTCAGATCCGGCCCCCATAACAAATGAGTTCGACACCCCTGCATTAAACAGTATCAAGTCCTACAAGAGTCAAAGAAATATCACACAAAACTAACAAAGAAAACCTCAAACATCACGGAAAGCCCTAAGCCCTTAATTTGCACTGTTTGCTCAATTCTGAAGAGATCAGATACCATAGAGATACTGGTGAACAGGAATAGCTTGGAATGCATGATTCAGGAGATTGTGATGAAAAATGTCCATCAATTATGGCCAAAGTAAATTAGACAGACTTGTCCATTGTTATCTTTTCTTGTCCTGCATGGCAATTTTCTACCCTTTGATTTTTCTACCATACACGATGATTGTGATTTCAAATGCTGCTCTGAGGTCTTTAGAGGACAGTCACGTACTCAAGGCTGCACTCCTAAGCATTTTTTAAAGGGTAAGAGCCATCGAACACAATGATATTTACTTCTTAGGAGACACATACAGAAAGACATGAGAAGGGTAGAAGAAGTAATGTCCTAGAAGTTGTTCTCAAACTGAAGAGATCAAAGTAAAGGAACACAGAGTAAGATGATACCTTCCACTTGTTTTATTGCATGTTCTCACTCTTCTGCATTGCCCCCTTTTTATTAAAATTGGTCCTTCTTTCTCTAGAAACTCATGGTTTTTTGAGTGATCAGTTGTATGTTCCTCCTTAATGCTTCCCTTATTGCCTGCTTTATATTGTCATTTTTCAATGTGAAGATGAAAGGATTCAGGAAGGGGCAGACAATGGTGGTAAGAACAGCAGGTACCTTGTGTACTTCTAGTGTCTCCTTCTGGGATGGTGTGATATAGATGAAGATGGTGATGCCACAGGAGATGGAGATGATGGTCAGATGAGAAGCGCAGGTGTTGAAGGCTTTTGACCGGCCAGTGGTGGTAGAGATGCGCAATATTGCTGAGATGATATATGTATAGGAAACCAGCGTCAAGACCAGTGAGCAAAGAACAACAAGAGAGGAGAGCAAAAAGTCCATCAGTTCTATGAAATGTGTGTCTGAGCAGGATAGGTCCAATAGTGGACCACTGTCACAAAAGAAATGGTTGATGACATTGGACCTACAGTACGATAACCTGGTGATCATGATGGTGGGACAAAGGACAGAGAGGAACCCTCCCAACCAGCTACCCAGCAACATCTGAATGCACACCCGGCCATTGATGATGGCATGGTACTGAAGAGGCTTGCAGATGGCAGCATAGCGATCATAGGACATGGAGGTGAAGAGGAGGAACTCCACTGTGCCCAGGAAGAAGTAGAAATAGGATTGGGCCATGCAGCCAGAAAAAGAGATGGATTTGTCATTAGAAAAAAGATTCCACAGTAGCTGAGGGCTAATAACAGAAGTGAAGAGGATGTCTAGCACAGAGACGTTGCTGAGAAAAAAGTACATGGGGCTGTGGAGCCGACTGTCCGTCAATACAATTGAGAGGACAGTCATATTCCCTGCCATGGATATAACGTACATAGCCAGAAAGAGGCACGCAAGAAGGATCTCTGCTTGACGTCCAACAGAAAATCCCATCAGGATGAATTCAGACACGCTCTGGTTCTCCATCGTGCTTCTTCCTTCTTCACTTAGCAGTTTTACCTGAAGGTTCGAAGGGAGAGTATAATTAGGCAATATTTCTATCACAATACATTCCCCAATCCCAGTCATATTTATAACAGCTTTTCCCATATCTTATCTAGAAGGGAGGTCAGTTCTGATTATTCCTATTATGTGGACGATGAACAACTGAGATGAAGAGACAGTTATTTGCCTAAGGCAGACAGGTGAGGACATAAATCAAGAACAACGTATGAACCCACGAAGCTGCTTTTTACTGGGTCTGAGCTTTGATCTAGCAAGGCTAGTCTTGTCTACTTTGAATGGCAGTAGCTCTCAGGCATCTCAGAGGTCTTTCTCATCACCTGCTACCGGATCCTTTTCACTGGAGATTCAGGGGATTGAACCTGGAACACTCTGCATGAAAGACTGGTGCTCTACATTTGAGCCATGGCCCTTCCCTAACTCAACACTCTCCTAAATTCAAATGAAAAACGTAGCTGATCTTATTATGAAGAATGAGGAAGCAGCCAGACCAGCAGATTCCAGAGGTGCTACCATTTCCTTGGGTCTCATCTCTACTCTCCTTTTGTCATTTAAAAGCAACTATAGTCAGTTCAATTCAGTTCTTTACTGTTACAGTTATTTGACCAAACATATAATCAATTTTAAAGTTTCCACAATAAACAACAATAAAACATGGTCTAATAAAACTTAAACCTGGTTACTATACAATTTCTGTAGCCTACGTATCAAGAACGATAGTCAAGAACACAGGTCTGGAGGGTACAGTACTCACATTGACACCCTATGGTAGATGGAGAAGCTAACGCTAGACCTTCCACATATGCTAAATAATGCACTTTCAATCCACTTTCAGTGTACTTTGCAACTGTATGGAACAGTAAAATCCACTTGCAAATGATTGATAAAGTGCATTGAATGTGGAATGAAAGTGCATTATGTTCTGAGTGTGAAAGCACCCTTTTAAGTTCAGTGTTCTACGCCACCAGCCAACCTAGCCACCCAACTGCCAACCAACCCAAAAGACACTTTTTGGAATGAGTTTGTTACTATGAATTGAACTACACATGAACACCGATGTGTGAGCTAATGCTAAATATTGTAGTATGGGAGGGAAACTAGACACAAGAAATGCTTAGTAAATATGATCATATATTTATGTTTGTATTACAAGACTTCAAAGGGAGAAGAGCAATCCAAGAAGTCTTCTGGTTTGGGGACATTTTACTGGGGGGGTACAATTAAATGGGGACGGGAGAAGTGGTTAATAAAACTGTGCACAGTGAGAAGAAAGTAAGGTAGAACTTCTTTTTCTCCCTCCCCTGTTCTACTAGAGTAAAGATGGTGCGGGGAAAAAGATTTAGGAGAGGTAGGAGGAGGCACTTTGTCACACAGTGCATGTGTGAAGACTGGGACTTTACTGTCACAGGGGTCATGACGGTCATTAGTTCCATTGTCCTTAAAAGGGAATTAGACAAAGTTCTGACCAATCGGTCCGTAATGAATATGAGTCGGGGTGCTGGACGATGGTGGCAGCATGAGTAGTTTATCTCGGAACTCTCCCCTGAATGGGAAATACTGGGATTAAACCTGGTACTTTAATGAGTAGTTTATTGGATTACTGGGGACATCTGGTTACCCACTATAGGAAATCCAGCACTGGTGAAGATGAACCCTTGGTCTGATCTTCTTATGCACTAACAATTTGATTCCTGTATTTTCCATAGGGGACAAGTAGACTTAAAGTTCAGTCCACCTCAAGGATGACAGAATGATGTGTGCCCAAGTGAGCAGTCAAAGTAATCTGTTCCTACCCCTCCTGTTTCATTCTCCCACTTCCTCTTCACACCACCCTTCTGCTTAACTGAATTACTGCTCACTCACTTTCTGAACATCTGGTCAGTACAATCCTGGGAAGGGGACATCTCCAAAAGTCTCCGTTCTTCCTACACAATCACCAACAAGCTTCCTTCTATGCGTCCTTCTGTCCTGAATCATCTCTGCAAGATTTTCCCCACCCGTCTGGAAACACCTGAATCCTTTTTCTGAGAACACGTGTCCCTCTTATTCTCAAAGGTGCAGTACACCTTCTCTCCCTTTGTCTCTTCTGCTCGTTCAAGGAGTGTCAAAGTAGCTTTGATGAATCAACAGTCCATGATGACTAGCATTCTATTTTTAACCACGTCTACTAGATACAGCCCCTCTGGGAAACCACAAGCAACCAATAGGTCTGTCTGACTGGTTCTCTGTCTAGGTACCTACCTGCTATGTATTACTGTAGGCATCCGCTCTTCTGATGTTTCTGTCTCTATCTGGATCCTGCCATCCACAAGAAAAGTGAATTCTATCTCTCTCTGTTCTCCATGGCAGATACCAGTGGCTTTGACTTCTCTCATTGTCAGCTAAACTGATCAATGGAGGAATTCCATTTGGCCACAACCTGCTAATCAGAACTCATTACTTGGGCTACAGGGAAACAGACTCTAGGGACTGTATCAGAGGCATGATGAGATATCGAGTCGAGCAGGGACTTCTCATACTGTTTTATCCAGTCTCTTCTAGAAGCATAAGAAATATAGTAACTTTTTTTTCTTATTATTTTTCTTATTATTACCACTATGGTGCAATAGATGAAGAGGTCAACTTCAGTGGGCGAGATCTGGGTTCAAATTTGCTTTCTTCCTCAAAGTTTGCACAAAACCAAAAATGTGACCTTTCTTTGTTAATCAAGAAGTGTGAAAGAATGGGGGACCATGTTGCCCAAGCTTTCCCTTCTGTGTGTGGAGTGGGTATCCTCAGATGTAATCCATAACCATCACATCCTGGTAGAGTGGTTAGAGTTTCAGACTAGAAACTGGAAGACCCAGTTTCGAAGCCCTCTTCTGCCATGGAGGCTCACTAGGTGAGCTTGGTCCAGTAAAAAACTTACTTCACTGGGGTCTTGTAAAGATAACATGGATCAGAGGAGACAGCAGTAAACAGCTTCGAGTCCCCATTGGAGACAAAGACAGGGGAGATATGAAGCAAGGAAATAAATAAATAAATAAAGCCGCTAATACTCACAATAAGTCTCTCTGGCCAACCTCTCCAACACACACCTTAGGTGTATGGTGGTAAAAATTGCAATCAAGTTGCAGCCAACTTCTGGTGACCCCGTAGGGTTATCAAGGCAAGAGACATTCAAAGGTGGTTAGCCATTGCCTGCCTCTGTGTAGCAACCCTGGACTTTCTTGGTGGTCTCCCATCCAAATACTAACTCGGGGTGACCCTGCTTCACTTTGGAGGTGTGATGTGGTCGGGCTAGCTTGGACCATCCAAGTCAGGGCACCTGAGGTGTGTACCTTAACAAAATATAATGTTTGAAGCCATTTTGAAACACACTCAAGAATTGGAAACAATCAATTTTTCCAACTGGGGAGAAGATGACTCTACGAAAGAAGATAATTGTGGGAATTTGAAAGCCTCCGTGGTTACATGTGTTCTGGGTTAGGACTGTAGTAAGGATGGGAATCGATTGAGATTGAGTGAAATGCGAGCTGAGTCTCACACACAGTGCTGGAAATCCCTCACAAGCTCAGGCTTTGTTGCCCATCACACATTACAAGTATTCTTCAGGATGGGGAATGAAGGAACACTATGCTAGGAGCCCCTGAAGTTCTACACTCCCATATGAGCTTATGTTTTAGGGACAGTGGCCATGTTAGCCTGCAGTAGAAGAGCTAACTTCGAGCCTAGTAGCACCTTAGAGACCAATATGCTTATGAATTTCTGGTTTGGGATGCCATGAATTTCGTGGCTAACACGTTTGACAGACAATCTTACAGTATTTGACTGCCATGATCAGACATGAGAGAATCCCCAGGGAGTTTGGTTCAGCCCCAAAGCAGCTAAACACCTGCCAAACAGTCTGCATTGGATTTTTCAAATGACGCGTGCCCCAAAACCATGCTGATCTAAACAGATCAGCAGATAAACAAATATAAGGTCAACAGTCGTGTTAGTCTGACCCGCAATCAACAGTCATACAACTTATAAGAATTGCTGTACATGTATTGTGCTCTGAAGCATTACAATATGATACACAACTTAATAGAATTTATAAACCAAGGTACAACGTCGTCTCCGGATTATTTACCAACGTTTCAAAAAATGAATCTTCTTCAGGAAATTTATAGAGGTGCCAAAGCTCTAATTTTCATAAAAGCTAGACAACAAGTCTTAAGCATATCACGATTCAGTAGGACGCTGATCTCAATTAACACACTGTGTTTTTTTCTGGATCCTAGGCGTCCTTGGTTTATAAATTCTATTAAGTTGTGTATCATATTGTAATGCTTCAGAGCACAATACATGTACAGCAATTCTTATAAGTCGTATGACTGTTGATTGTGGGTCAGACTAACACGACTGTTGACCTTATATTTGTTTATCTGTTTTAGGCGTGTGTGTCCAGATTTTTTTCTAAACAGATCAGCAGCCATTAACGTCGCTAAGGGCTAATTTGTCAAACACTTACTGGTAAGGGTTTTTAAAAAAAATTAAAAAGCCAGATTTTAAAAAAAATATATATATATTTTTTTTTTTACTATTTTTTCTGCATGTTTGAACAACTGCCTGCTGGGAAGAGCAGCGGGGAGGTGGGGGTGGGTGGGAAGTGAACTCAACTGGGATGTGAACACAGATGCCAAAAGCCAATTCTATTGTACAGGATGGTTAGCAAAGAATACAGCCTACTGAACAGTCAGAACCAGGTCACTGAACAGATGGAAAACTAGATTTGAGTCCCGTCACACCCTAGAGACCAACAAGTATATAAAGTATAACTCTCAAAAGTGTATTTCCCTTACCCCCTTTCAACTTCTGTATCTCACTTTTTCCTGAGAAAATAATTTAAAAACCCTTAATAGATGAATAGTCCATATAGTTTGCAACTGTTTAGAACACATAAAAGGGAGTACTACTTCACCCAAAGATTAATTAACATG